ACAGACTAGCTTTTTATGTCATCTTTGATGAACATACCTGATCACCCACTGTCAAAATATCACCCACTGTTCAAATAGGAGAGGAAAGGTTGAAGGTCCGTAGGCCGAGAAACAAAATATAATTCGACTGGGAAGGACAGTTCGCACAGTCGCCATGGTTGGGTACGGGTCCATTCGTCCTCGATACCCAACCTGGACAAACCATCAGAAGGGTTACTGGCGGAGTCGATCCATTCAATCCAAGGTCGAATCTGACGTTTCTGGAAAATCAAATGAGCTAACTGGACAATGGCATGAACGTCCTCTTGTCCACTGGAACCTTTAATTAATGAGGAAACAGCGGCCTCATTATCAACGAACCAGAGGAGATCACGACCGGCAAGGATGTCACCATGGACCGACGGCACGAGGAGTCCACAAAGTGTTTCGCCGGGGTAGATCTGTTGGTGACGTTCAATCCATGAATCAGTCACCTCGGATGGTACCAGGCATGAGACTCCCAAAGGAGGCGATGTCATGAGTACCCATCCAACCCGCAAGGTGCCCTTTTCAAAAGAGGCATCCGAATAAATTACCAGGGGGGATTTGGTGGCTGAGCACACCTCAATATCCCGGGGCCTGGCTTCGTGAAGCATGATGCTGAGGAGGCGTAAAGTAGTAACCTCAGCGTCTGCTAGTTCAGGAGTGGCAGCGTGCTGTTTGGCGGCCAACACTGGCCCTGCGAAGCGGCCGGCTTGCCCTGCGCACATGCTGAATAGCCAGTTGAGGTCGCCACGAAGCTTCCCCGCATCATCGGGTCGGAGGTGTCGGGTAGCGATAGCCTCGCGGAGCTTGGCTTGGACCTTCCTCGTAGTGGAGGTCTTTGGTTGGAATCTGATGACTCCTAACCAGCCAAAGTCTCCTACGTGGACTGAAGTCCCGAGGTAATGTCTATTAGGTGCTGGCACAAAACTTTTGGAGCTCTGGGGCGGTGCTCCCAACAGCCTGAAAACCAACTGGAGGCTCCGTTGGGAGACATCGTTGTCACGAATGCACTCCACCGATAGCTCATCATCAAAGTATGCAGCTGAGCACCCTAAGAGACATCTACGGGTGATGGCAATACCCAGTTGTGGGAAGCGATTGAAATTCACCACCGCGCTTTCGAGACCGTAAGCTAGACCCCACATACATGTAAATCTCCAGCCCAATGAGGGAACGAAAATCGCAACATTAGAGAAGGGAAGATGGGAGTCAGCAACGGGCAGGCCCCGGTAAGCGTCGGGAAGATCATCCGTACCCAGACGGATATCAAGCCACTCGGGAGGAGAGCCTACCGGAAAGGGCATTTCAGAATGCAACATACGGGCTACTGAAGCACAGAAGTCAACATTGACAGTTGAGATCGTTTCGTGCATTGTTGTATGAGCATTATGACCACTTTTCCGAGCATTGTCAATGGCTCGTTTCTTCCCATCCGGTTGGATGATGAGGAAACGTTCCACGAACCTCCACCCCCCAACACCGAAAAGATCATCCATTTCCCGTGCGGTGCGCAAAGGAGAGCAAAACTCTTTTTCAATCTCGTCGTTAGTCAAGTCCAGGGTGTCTTGGACATGCTCCGGAGGGCGGGTGCGAAGGAGGCGATCTAAGTCAGCCTCGGCTGCCGTCCCCAACCACTGGTCCAGGGATAGTTTTCCTTCCTGGACAATGGGTCGAAAAACCCCCGAGTGCTCCATGTCGCCCACAATGTCGAAGCCCAAAACCAGGGATCTTGCGAGCATCTTGTCCGGCCACCGTAACAAAGCGACCATGGTGGCCACAAAGGCTGGTCGTTTTCCCATCGCCACTTTCCGAGCACTCTGGCATCGAAAGGGGTTCAATGCGTCCTCCAGGGGAGTCACCGCCCGCGCCACCGTGGCCAGGACGTGGCGAAGCTTCTCTGCCCAGCGAGGGAGGGCTTGTCGCCAGGTTGCCACAGCCTGGATGACAAAGCTCATGTCCGGTTCAGGCCAGGGGCGGGGTGCAAACGGTGAGGGCAGTTCCAAGGCAGCTGCAATATGCTCTTGCTTGCCCATACCCGGCGGGAGGAGGTGATCCAGGCCTTTGGCTGCATTGCTGGCATATCTTTGGCCCGTGAGACCAGCATAGATGGCTGTGCGTTCACGGCCCCAAACCGGTGTAGGGCCCAAAGTGGACCATGACTCTTGCCTGAGGCGGCGCCACATCGGGTAAGCCTGTAGCGTAGCGAGCTCACATGCCGCCAACCTCCTGGACACCTCCGGCCAGACTGCCTCCTGACATGGGAGGAAAGGAAAGGTGGCTTGTAATTCTGCGCACACTTCACCTGCCGAGAGGATACCCGGCATAGTCGCCAACCTACCCGGGCTCCATACTGTATGGCATAGGCGTTCAGCAAGGCCTAACTCCTCCACATCAAAGGGCTGCTTTGTCAGCTTGGCCTGCATGATGGATGGAAGGCAGCACAGAATCGCCATGACACTTGGAATAGGGAAGCCGTTGCCCAGCAAAGAGTTTCGTAGCTTTGTTCGCTGGTCTTGTGAGCCCTGGACTGCATGGGTGGCGGCCACAGGCACACCCATCAATTGGGACCGCTCGTCTGGGGAGGGCTGTCTCCAGTTGTCACCTGACCACAACAGCGAATTCTCCTCATAAGCTGCCGGTGGGAAACGACGATGGTCCTGATGGAACCGTGCTGCCGCTGCCGGTGTCACTTGTGCCAGCCGATCCGTAGGGTGGAAGAACTCGCGAGTGAAAGGGTGCATAGCACCAGAGCCTTGCGCTTGCATCACTTGCTTGGGGTCCAGCATCGGCCGGAAGTGATCATCCCACCATACCTGAGCAGGGATAGGCTTCTTTCCGCAGTAGTGTAGGGTCGGATGTCGGCTCCCTGAGCCTTGCTGCCAGACCCAATCTGAAGGCGGCGTGCCCCTCGATGACAATCCTGCGCTGCGGGATGCCAACCAGTACAAACGGCGGCGGTGGACCCAGCCACACCCAGCCGCGTCGCTCAGCGCCGGTTGAGCGCCCAACCATGTAGAGTACTGTTCACAAACGGACTGGGGCATACTGGCGACGTTCTCCAGGAATGTGATGACTTCACAGGTGCGAGCTTCCGGAAGGGCCAAAATCTCCTCCCGAAGGCGTCGGAGTTGGCTCGGTTGTTGAGATCTCGGGTCATTAAGACCCTGCCTGCCTCGGTTCAAGCTAGAGTTGCCTTGGCACGGGGAACCACCACCCAGGATGATGCCCCGTACTTGGCGCCGTTGCAAGAACTGGCGGAGGTCCACTCCCTTGAGTTCCTCAACTGAGTCAATATGCACCAAATTAGGCGTTGCAGCCTGTGCAGCGGCACTAGCCACCGGGTCACTCTCAGCGCTGATTGCGTAGATGTGAACACCGAGGGCAAGCAAAGCAATGCACAGTCCACCAATGCCCGCCCAGAGGTCCAATACCAGCCAAGTACCTCGAATAGATATACCCCAAGGGAACTGTGGCAGGTCTCCTCTGCCACGCCATGTCACCGGTTTTGCCCCGACCAAGCGGGTAGCTAAAGCCGAAGGGGTGGGCTCCATAGGCTCGCGCAAGGTGATCTGCCGCACGGCCCCCTGAGGTGGCGCCGTGGTATCCCTCTGCTGCACTGGATGCTCAACCCCCCCGCAGCTCACAGGCTGCCAGGGGGAGATGTCCCTATTCGCTCGGATGCTCGAGCCTGGTGTGGGGTCCCTGGCACGGCTTACCTGTCGGCAGCTTGACATCACACTTGTGAACCTGCGGGCACTTCGTGTTTGCACAACCGCGTCCATCATTCCAAGGCTTGCACAACTTCAGGCCCCCTTTCAACATAGAGATGGTCTGGTACGAATCCTGCTTGATCTGGCGCCGTTTGGGAGCAGGAGGCACAGCCTCACTGGCACCCGGGGCTGCTCGTTTGGGTGCGCCTGCAGGCTCATTGGGGACGGCCTGAATGGCACTGGCGCGCCATTCAAGGTGAGTCTCACGCAAGGCCTCTTGAAGTGCTTCCCAACCATTGTAACCTTGCCGAATGTAACTTGCCATCTTGGTACGTGTCAGCAGGTCGTTGCGCTCCAACCACAACCTGGAGCCCTGGCCGAATTCCATGGCACTGGAGAGCGCGTGGTCAGCGTAGTTCAGGGCAGCGGTAAGGGAGATAAATACTGTCTCCTTACCATCATGTCCCCGCTGCTGGTGCAACCCTGCCCACGCCCATGCATAGGCCAAAGTACGGAGCGACCAGTAGTAGTCGACTACAGTGCGAACAGAGCGGGCCTCCTCCGTGTGGAATTCAAGCTGGATGCCTTCTCCTAATTTCACCGCATCTTGTTGCCGTGGTGTAGCCTGGTGAAGGACTGACTTGATGCGAGAGGCTGGTACCACCGACATAGTCCTCTTTCTGAATTCTCTGTAAACCCGGGCTCTCAGAGCGTCACTGGGTTCCAGCGTAGCCTCCACGATGAGAGCATACTTGGATCTGAAGTCGCGGTTGAGCTGCTCCATGGTGGATTCCGGGAGTGGGTCATCCACCCCCTCAGATGACTTAGCAGCCTGGGCCGCTTGCTTGATGGCCTCCGCCCCTGCTGAATAGGCCGCACGCAGGCGAGCCTGTGTCAGCCGGTTGTCCTTGAAGGGTGTAGGCGCCAACAGTGAATGGATGGCCGCCGTGACGTCCTTTTCGTCCACAGAGAAAATGAAGTCCTCCAAGGTCTCCCATTTATGTGCACGGATCACGGCGTCGGCCCACTCTGGGAGGACGTTGGAGCCACTGAGACAAGCAGCTAAGCCACGGTCATCTTGGAGAGTATCAATCTGGTGTCCACGGCTCATGGCAGGGCTCCGAGGGTCTAGCAGGTGCTGGGAAACCCAGAGCACACTGGGCCACTCAGGGGCGCTGCACTCTGAGATCGAGCGATTGAAAAACTGGGCTGTTGCAGAAGTTGGGCCATGGTTGCGGTGTCGAAGACACATCACAAACGCGCGTAACCCGAGGACCCTTTCTCTCACCCTCGCCCTCCTACGCGGGGGTGGTGGATTAAGGGGGGTTGCCCAAACGCGAAAAAGGAAAAACCTTCGATCGACGGCGGCCGGCGGGTCCCCGTGGTCCCGGAGCACAGGCGATGAGCTACCCATCAACTCGTCACTGACCCCAAAACCCGACCCCACCCCACACACACGTCGACGAGGTTGTGTGATCGAACGATGGGCTCCAGCCGGGCGGACCGAGGCAGCTTTTTCATACCACACGCGGGGATGTGCTAGTTCAGCCACCCGCAATGCCGCGCCAGCGCCCGGTACAATCCCCTGGGCATGCGAGCCAAGCATCGTTGGCAGAAACGCTGGCGCGATACTAAGGAGAAGCCCTCTCCTGTCGATCGCGGATCTTGGGAGAACGGGGCGTCGCGGCACCACGGCAGCAGACGTCCATCCGATTCCCCTCGGATGATGTGAACCTTGGCCCCTTGCACCATCCAATGCGTGGACACGGCCACGTCATCGTCAGAGAGGGCGCCCTCCAAATCGCTGGCTTCATTGGACACATCGGAGGCTGATTCTGAGGAGTTCGAGGAGGTATCCGTGACGGATTCGTTGTCAGCTGCCTCCGGTTCCGGTTCTGGCCCATTGTCCACCGGCAATGTGGGGTCCTGGACATCCGCTGAGCCCCTGGCAGTGGCATCATCTGTAGGCATGTCCTGCTCGATCTCGACCGGTGGTGGTGCCGGGAGCTCAGTTTCAAGGTCACCAAGGCGCTCATTCTGGGCAGCGAATTCTGCCCAGGTCCAACTGTCCCGGGGGTGCAGTCCCTCATCCGTCAGCGCCAATTCCGCCTTCTTGGCATGGTAAAGGCTCATGAAGCGCTTCAGCAGTGCCTTCTTCACCTGGGCCGAATGAAGAGCTCGTTGGCCGCTATAATGAATCCCCATAGTCCAGGTGGCCCGTGACTTCTGGTTGGGGATGGGTCCCCCGCCAGTGGGGATCTCAACCCAATTGCCAATGGCCTGTTGGTCCGCCGGGGTCAACCGGACCACATTCCCAAGAGTGGGGAGGAACCGTCTCAAACGGTTGAATCCCGCAGTCTGGGCTTGGTCAGGAGCCGTGCCCAGGTCAAGGAGGGTGCCCCGCAGAAGCTCCAAAAAGCGTCCTCTGGACAGCTTGCGGTCCAAAGCCCAAGGGGTGTGTTCCGTGACCTGCCACAGGTCCATCGGGTCCAGCTGCAATGCCGGCCACAAGAACTTGCACCCTGGCAGAAGCTCCATGGTGACAAAGTCCTGGATGACCTTGACCAAGCTGAACCCTGGCCATGGAATGTCCGGCATAGCCCATTGGAAGGCAGGCCGGGCCCCCTGGCGCCGCGCCTTACCCTGCGAGCATGTGAAGAACAGGGCATTGGCCGCCAGGTGGTCAAACTTAGACCGTTGAATATGCTCGAATCTGATGCAGGATACAGCCGCCCACAACATAAAGGCCAGCACCAAGGTGTTGGTGCCAGAACTTTGGCGAAGCTTCAGGATCATGTTGATGAACTCCCACGGTTGCAGTTCGAGCTTCTGTTGCGAGGTATGTCCCACAGGAAGCAGCTTGTAACCGCGCACCATCCAGTGGTCCAGCGGGAATTGAACCCCGAACTGTGACCGGAACCAGTTGAGGGCGTGGAACATAGCGGATGCTGCTGTGGGGCCCCCGCGTGCCACCTCCTTGAGGAAGGTGCTCAACTGCAGAGGGGTAGGTTGCCGTACATCGAACCCCAACCTGAGGGCAAACTCCCGCCACCTTCGCAAGGTGCTCGCCAGAGCTCCCAAGCGATGGACTGAAAGCCTGTCGGCGGCCGGCATAACAGACTCCTTGAGGAGTTGCATCCTGGCGGCGTCTTGCAGCTGGGTTCGGGAGACCCCCAATTCCTCCAGGTCGAGGAAGTCCTGGATCAAGAGCTCGAACGAGGTCTGGGTTTTGGCCATCTTGGCTGCTTGTTCTTTCACATAGGGATCTCGGGCTGCAAGGCTCATGAGGAGCGGAGGTTCCCTGACCTCTCCTGTCTCCAAAAGGCGGCGCACCGGCCGAGCGGCCTGCTGTGAAGGTCCCTCTGGCTTGGCTGGGGCCGAGGTGGAGACTGCCGACTGGCGGTGGATGCAGATCTCCCTCAAGTGCTTGCGCTGTGAGGCTTGAGCCCTCTGAGACGCCAAAGTCCAGAAGGAGACGATGGTGAAGCCGTCCTCCGCGGACACCGGGCCATGGCGCCCTTCCAACTCCTCGAGGAGCGCACCGCCTGTGGGCCACAGGCTATGAACATCCTCACAGGTCTGGACTCCCAGGTCCACGAGGTGATTGAGGAGGTTGATCGGCCGGTCGACCAGCAGCTCCTGTAGCATACCCTCCATGGGTTGGTCCGGCTTCAGCGCCCCGGAGCTGCTCGATGAGGTAGACGCGCACGCCGTCTGCGGACATGTTGAGGGCGGTTCCCAAGGCGTCGAGGCGGATGACCTGGTCGACCTCATGGAAGTGCGGGGCCGACTCTTGGGTTCCAAACCCTTCGATCTGGACCGCCGCCTCTTGCGCTCCGCCATGGTCCGCCACGCAGGGAGGCCAGTCGCTCCTCACGGGGTAGCACACTGGCCTCCCTGCCCCTCGCCCCGCCTCCACCGCCGTGCCACCACCCTCCACGTAGCCCGCTCAGTGGAGAGGATGGCGGGCATGGCTAGAAAAAGGAGGGGAGCCCCCAATCTTGAGCCAAAATGGCATCCAAGATTGAGGATCCCCGCTATATGTTTCACATCTCAATATGTCCCTACCCAACCAACCATTCATATTGATTGATAAGGTCCACCTTCCTCTCAGAAATGAATGCTAAGCCAGTGGGCCCTCAGGAGCAGTGGAATTGGTGAGCCGCTACAACCTTGAGCAGTCGCTCTGAGATCTTGCCACATGTGCAACTCAGGTGCACCCACCACACATGGTTGGACTGCTTGGTCCCTCCATCAACAAAGCAAACTGCGGCAAGCTCTGACCTCCCTTAACCGGTTCGAGCCAAACTCAATGCCATCTTTACAGTGTCCTTCTCAGTGAGCCACCACTCCCAGACTCCCAGCCTCCTTCCGGGAGAGCTCGTCACGACGAGCCTCCAGGCGGGACACCTGCAGCAATGCCGATCCGCAGGATGTGGTCTAAGGGCTGTATAGCTAGCTCTAAGCTTTGAAAAGGTTTATGTAGGGTATATCAGTATATATATCTATATTCCACATGCTTGGCTAGCTTGAGCACTGAGTTCTCTGAGGGAAGTTGGGGCAGCCCCCAGCTGCAGGAACTCGAGTCTTTCAAGGAATGGCTCATTCTATGCCGACGCAGTCATTGGGCAAAAGCTGAGCTAGGGCGGTGTGTAAACTGGTGCATTTGCAAAAGTTGTCATCATAGCTAGTCAAATCTGCAATCATTTGCGGTGACAACTGACGTTTTGCCTGGGTGAGACATGATCGGTGCTCGTCTTACTTCTGGATGCATGGACACAATCCATGTCATGCACCTGCACATCTCAGTCTTGTGCTATCATTCCCATAAATACTATAAAACCTTTCTTGGTGGTAAATCATTATTCCTACGGACGAACAAGGATTGATCTCTCCGTATGGATTACTTAGCTGCTTGGGCCAAACGAAAACGTGCCATTTGTCGCCCCATTGCTCCATCGCCTCAGCTAGCTGCGCATCCAGCTCCTGTCGCTTCGCCATGAGCTCCTTCGGCTGGGGGGCGCCGAGTCCCCTTGTGCTCTGTAAGTGCTGGACCCAATCGTTTGAGGTTAGGTGTGAAGCCTCACATGGGGGGCTCAACCCAAAGCATGTTGCAACATTGTTGACCCAAACTCATCTTTGCATTAGCTTCCCACGGCGAAGACAGAAAGAAGAAAGAGAAGTACATGCTGCAAAAACAAGACTCTCATTTCGGACCAAATCATCAAGTCATATCCTCAATGTCAGCCACTCACACGAAGCAAGAGGAAATTAGCAGCAATGCTGGACCCGGCCTGAGATTCCAAACTTGGTTTAAGGTGTCTTAAAGATCCAATCGCGGAACCTCCGCTAGCTAAAAAACCTGAGTTTGCTGTAGGACTGTATCTTCCTTGAAAATGTCCGGATAACAACATATAAAGGATGAAAAAAGTGTTTGTTGGAAATCCTCCAACAAAACAAACATGCTTTTGAATGATCCTACCACTTCAACTCTCAAGAAAAGGAGATCGGTCGCCTGTTACTCTTAGGCCCTAGCGGCCCTAGCGCCTCCTCCTTTTTTGCCAAATCCTTCTGTTGCTCCATAGCGGCACGCTGCTGCTCCTCGCTCAGACTCATGACAGTTATGACACATAGGCTGGAAGACATAAGCTTTGCCATCTTGGCGCCACGAACCGTCCTCAAGCTGCAGCTTTCTGCTCCCTTGTGCCTCCAGAGATTTGGTCATGCTGCTCCAGGATTTCTGCACCTCAGAGTCAGTCTGGTTGGAAGCAAATCAGTCAACATCCATATATAGTGATATGCATAACACTGCATAACTATTGAGCAGCTGGCTTTGTCCTGAAGCACACCGAAGGAAAAATCGTCGTTATGAGGGTCCTGAGCGTACCTGATTTCTCCACCATATGTTGCAAGATGTTGCAAGCACAATGTGTGTCTCAGAATGACCCCTGTTCGATCATGTTCAGATCTTTGTGCTTCCATCACCTTTGGCAAAAAGGAATATTGAATAGTCTGAGTTGGTGGCTCATCTAACTGTGAGGAGTCCTTGGATGCCTCCGCCTCCAACTCCAGCAAGACCTTCTTGAAGGCCTGTGGTCAACATCTCAAGATGGCTGTGATGATGAAAGACACCTGTCACCCGATGTTCACCAAAATCATTAGACCATCGTGAAGAAAACCCATAAACCCCTGCAGTGCACACTGCTGGTGAACCACCTTCAACGTTTCAGTTCAGGTTACTCAAGTCACTCCACCTATGAAGGACGATGCGGCTTTTTGGGTGGTCGCCATCGTCCATTTGCCCCAGAGCTTCTTGTTACTAGTAGCGATGCCAGGAGCCCCTAGTAGCGTCCT